TTTTTCCCTGCTTACTCAGGCCCTGTGTGGAAACTCGGGTCCCACATTGGACACCATATGTAGTAGACTTTCTCTTTGGGTTACCAACCAGCTCCCAAATAAAGACATAGAGACTTCTTATTAGTTATGAGTGCTCGGCCTTATCTTATGTTTGTCCCACTAGCTCTTATAACAATTTAACCCGTTTCTCTTCATCTATGTTTTGTCTCAGAGCTTTTTACCTTTCATTCTGCATGTCCTACTTTCCTGCTTCCTCCGTGTCTGTCTGTCTGTCCGTCCCCAGGCATCTCCCTCTCTTTCTCCCTCATTCTCTTCTCTTGAACCTAGATTCCTCTGCCCAACAGCCCTGCCTATCCCTCTACTGCCTAGCTCTTGGCTGTTCAGCTTTTTATTAAACCAATCAGGTGCCTTAGACAGGCAAGATAAAAACAAATGCAATAAATCTTTACATTGTTAAACAAATGCAGCATAAACATATCTTTACCCAGTCAAAGTAATATTCCACAACAGTGGATGGAGTTGTGGGGGGGCAGTGTGTGTGTGTGTGTGTGTGTGTGTGTGTGTGTGTGTGTGTGTATGACTGAGTTTCTCTCTAGGGTCACAGGGGAGTTGCAAGCCAGAAACCAGGTAGATGATGTAGGACTCAGTCCCCTGGGACCTGGGCTTGCAGTGCATCCCTGGAGCGGGGAGCCTGCCTCACTGCTCACAGGATCCCGGAAGTAGCCTTATGGAGCCACTGGGGCTCAGAGTTAGGGGCCGTGTCCAGGGTCGCCGCACAGTTATAAGCAGTAGAATCAGCTCAGTGCAGACCCTCTCACACCAAACACGCTCCCTAGCCCCTCACCCAGCAGCTCTTTCTACAGCGTGCTGAGCTTTGTTGTCTTGGGGCGGTTTGAGGTTCAAGGAGGGCAGGGTGAGGTGCATTTCCTAAGAGGAGTTTGGTCGGGGGAGGGGCTGGGGCTGGGTTTTGCAGCAGTGACTCTGGAAGGGGCTGTTTGTCTGTGTGGACACATGCTGGCTGGGCCCTAGGGGAGCTGCGCTCAGCACGTCACGCTTGCTTCCGGTGTTGCCCTCGGCCAGGTTTGTCATCCAGCTGCTGGAGGACCTGGTGTTTTTTGTCAGCGACGTCCCCAACAACGGGCAGAATGTCCTGGACATCATGGTCACCAAGCCCAACCGGGAGCGGCAGAAGCTGATGCGGGAGCAGAATATACTTAAGCAGGTGTGTGTGCTCTCCAGGGGCTCGTGGCTTCTCCGGAAGGGAGAGCGGAGGGTGTGGCTCAGAGGGAGAGCACCTGCCTGGAATAAGTCAGTGAAGAGCTGGGAGCATGGATCGGTGGTAGAAGGCCTGCCTAGAACTTACCATCAAGGGTCTGGGAACATGGCTCAGCAGCAGATGCTAAAATTTACCAGCGAGGGCCTCGGTGTGGATCAGGAGCAGAGTTCTTGCCTAGATCCAGCAGTGAGGAGGCAGCGCTTTGGCTCAGTGGTAAAGCACTTGTGAACCCGCCTGTGAGGAGCCAGGGATGTAGGTCAGTAACTGAGCACTTGCTCAGCATATTTAAGCCAAAGGTCTAGGTGCCATCCCCGTTGGGGGAAAGATGTATCTGAGCCATGGGCACGTGCCAGGTGCCTCCCTGAGCTCCCTGCAGGGCTCGCCTCATCCGACCCCCTCCTGCAGGAGAACTGTTGTCTTCAGGATACTGACGAGGACACCAAAGCCCACAGAGGCTCTGGGCTCCTGCGAAGGGAAGCTCTGGGCTGGAGTCAGTCAGGATTGGGGTTCCTGGGAGGATGAGGGGCGTAGGCAGGATGAGAGAGACCCTCTCACTCTCTACACCCCTCAGATCTTTGGCATCCTGAAGGCTCCGTTCCGTGACAAGGGGGGCGAAGGTCCGCTGGTGCGGTTGGAGGAACTGTCCGACCAGAAGAACGCCCCCTACCAGTACATGTTCCGCCTCTGCTACCGGGTGCTCCGGCACTCCCAGGAGGACTACCGCAAGAACCAGGTGGGCGGAGCACGGCCCCGCTGGGCGGAGCATGGACCCCGCTGGGCGGAGCACGGCCCCCCGCTGGGTGGAGCACGGCCCCCGCTGGGCGGAGCATGGGTGGAGCATGGCCCCTGCTGGGCAGAGCATGACCCCCCGCTGGGCGGAGCATGGCCCCCCGCTGGGTGGAGCACGGCCCCCGCTGGGCGGAGCATGGCCCCCCTGGGTGGAGCACGGACCCCGCTGGGTGGAGCACGGACCCCCTGGGTGGAGCATGGCCCCCCCTGGGCGGAGCATGGACCCCGCTGGGCGGAGCATGGCCCCCCTGGGCGGAGCATGGACCCCCTGGGTGGAGCATGGACCCCCCGCTGGGCGGAGCATGGCCCCCGCTGGGCGGAGCATGGCCTCCGCTGGGTGGAGCATGGACCCCGCTGGGCGGAGCATGGCCCCCGCTGGGTGGAGCATGGACCCCGCTGGGCGGAGCATGGCCCCCGCTGGGTGGAGCACAGCCCCCGCTGGGCGGAGCTCGGCCCCCGCTGGGCGTAGGCTCTGCCTGTGCTCCTCAGCAGGTGTCTCTAGGCACAGAAGCTGGCAGCCGGGCACTGTGGGACACTGGGTACAGGCGGCCACCAGATGGTGGGACTAGCTTCCGGGGTGCATGCCTAGCTGGGGGCTTACCCCAGGCTGCCCTGGGCTCTGCTGTTGCCATCCTAAAACACTGCTTCCTTCTCTCCTAGTCTTTTGGTTTATCGAGACAGGGTCTCACTATGTAGATCTGGCTGGCCACATCCCTAGCCTAGGACTCACCGTATATAGATCACATAGGTCCGCTTGCCTCTGCCTCCCCAGTGCTGGGATTAAAGGTGTGCGCCACCTCCTAGACTAAAATTCTTCATTTTTGAACCATGTTTTCACTATTTATTTTATACCATGCAGCCAGTCTGGCTAGACAAACAAGGCCCTGGGAGGAGCCACAGAGCACAGCTCAGAAACCACGTAAAGACGAGACGCCCTTCTGCTGTGGCTGTTGCTTCCATGCTCGCCCTGAAGTGGGCTTTTCAGAGCTGCTTACTCCACAGTGTAGAGACTCCTCACTCAGGCCCACGAGGCAACCGAACACAGCACGGAAGCCTGGCCTCCCAGCCTTTGCTCTGCCATTTTCTTTGGGGGCACAGACTCTGTCTATCACCAAAGTTGTAACTGGAGATTTTTAGATTTTAGAAGAAATGCTTGGCTCTGGCAGCCTCGACAAGCTAGATTCAACCACCTATCCTGTTACTAAAGAGACCGATGATGGTCAAAAGCAGAGAGGGAGGGAGAGACTGAGAGACTTATTCAATGTGGCCTCATTAGAAAGACAGATAGATAATAAGGTTCAGTGACTCCCCAAGTCTGTCTTTGGGTGCCAAGTTGAGCTCTGGGTTTAAATGGAAGAGGACAAGGGGCCAGAGCCGAAGATCCATGGCCCCAGTGACACCCCACCCCACCCCCAACCCCACCCCCACCCCCGCTTTCCCCCAGGAGCACATTGCCAAGCAGTTTGGGATGATGCAGTCACAGATTGGCTATGACATCCTGGCTGAGGACACCATCACCGCCCTGCTGCACAACAACAGGAAGCTGCTGGAGAAGCATATCACCAAGACGGAGGTGGAGACCTTCGTGAGCCTCGTGCGCAAGAACAGAGAGCCCAGGTGCCCCGCCGCGCCCTGCCCGCCCTGGGCCTCCTTCCAGCCCCTGGGGCTGGGTTTCGGGTTTTGTTCTAAAGATTTACTTATAGGAGTGCTCTATCTGCATGTACACCTTTATGCCAGAAGAGGGCATCGGATCCCACCATAGACTGTTGTGAGCCATCGTGTGGTTGCTGGGAATTGAACTCAGGACCTCTGGAAGAGCAGTCAGTGCTCTTAACTGCTGAGCCATCTCTCCAGCCCTGGTTTTTGTTGTTTTTTTGAGACAGGGTCTCACTGTGTAGCCCTGGCTGCCCTGGAACTCACTATGCAGACCAGGCTGGCCTTGAACTCACAGAGGCCTGACTCTGTCTCCAGAGTACTGGGATTAAAGGCCTGTGCCACCATGTCTGGCTTCTGGTGCTGGTTGTTAGATGTTGAAACTCCTGCACTGTGTGTGCTGCCTCCTCTCCAGTTCCGGGGGGGGCGGCTCTCAAATTCGGCTCAATGTAAAGTTCCCATGCAGATGGATACCCCCAAACCCTCCTCTGGTGACTGAGTCAGTACCTGCCTGAATCAGTTGTTAGTTTGAATGCCAACCTTAGCCTGTGCCTGCCCTGACCCCTGACTGTCTCTTCGCCCTGTCCCAGGGAGGTGCCATGGGCTGCTGCCCCTGGACAGTCTGGATGGAGGGCGGTTAGGCTTCTGGCCTGCAGGGCAGCTTCTGAGTCTGTTGCTGGTCCCGTTGACCCCACCCAGGTTCCTGGACTACCTCTCTGACCTGTGTGTGTCCAACCACATCGCCATCCCTGTCACCCAAGAGCTCATCTGCAAGTGTGTGCTGGACCCCAAGAACAGCGACATTCTTATCCAGACGGAGTGAGTGGCAGCCGCATCCCCAGGGGCTCACTGGGGTCCACACTGGGGCTGGCATTCTTGTTCCAGTGCCTGTAGTGCCACGCACTGGGTGTGTTGGGGTGGCGTGAGCGCCTGGGGGGTAGAGGGGGAATGAGCCGTAGCCCCAACCTGAGCTGCCCTGGCTTGTACCCCACACAAGGCGGCGTGGGCCCCTGGGGCTCAGCCTTCCTGGGGTTAGATATGGTGAGAACCGGTCTCAGAAAACAAATGAGGGGCATCGGGGCTCTGAGTGGCCAGAGGCGCCCCCCTGACCATGCTGTTGGCTGCAGGCTGCGGCCCGTGAAGGAGATGGCCCAGTCTCATGAGTACCTCAGCATCGAGTACTCGGAAGAGGAAGTGTGGCTCACGTGGACGGACCGGAACAACGAACATCACGAGAAGAGTGTGAGGCAGCTGGCCCAGGAGGCACGGGCAGGCAACGCGCATGATGAGAACGTGCTCAGTTACTACAGGTACCAGCCGGGCAGGGGGACCTGCCCTCCTGAGGTCTGGCGCTGTCGGGGCCTCTGCCTGGGCAGACGGGGGCCCTGTCCTCATCCCCCCCCCCCCCCCCGGCCCTGTACAAAGCCTTTCTCCACACAAGAACGGCCTGCGGCCCAGGCTCAGCATAGTGGCCAGGCTTTTAAAAGCTGGTCATTGTCCTGTCTCTGCGCAGGCCTCCTGTGTTTTCACTTCCCTGCTTTTGTTGTTTAATTTTTATCCATGTTTTTAGTGTGTGTGTGTGTGTGTGTGTGTGTGTGTGTGTGTGTGGACATGCACGTGTCACAGTTCCCAGGGTTGATTCCTTCCACAGTGTGGTTCCTGGGGGTTGGACTCAGGTCATCAGGCTTGGCAGCAAGCACCCATTGCTCACTGAGCTCTTGTTTACTTTTTATTTTATTTTTCTGTGTGGCTGTAGATCTCTGCACCATGTGCTTGCCTGGTGCCTGTGGAGGGCTGAACAGAGCATTGGATCCCCTGGGACTGGAGTTAATAGGCGGCTGTGAGCTGCCACGTGGGTGCTGGGAATTGAACCTGGACCCTCTGGGAGAGCAGCCAGTGCTCTTAACCACTGAGCATCTCTCCAGCCCCTCACTTTTTTGAGACAAGCTACCCTCTAACTCATGGTAGTCCTCCTGCCTCATGAGTCATCACACCTGACCTTATTTTAGTTTGTTTGGGTTTTTGTTTGTTTTTCAAGACAGGGAGAGTTTCTCTATGTGGCCCTGGCTGTCCTAGAACTCACTCTGTAGCCCAGGCTGGCCTCAAATCTGCCTCTGCTTCCTGAGTGCTGGGATTAAAGGTGTGTGCCACCACCACCTGGCTTTTTTGTTTTGAGACAGTGTCTCACTCTTTAGCCCAGGCTGGTCTTGAGCTCAGGGAGATCTCCCTCCCTCATCCCTCCTCGGGCTGGGATTATAGGTGTGAGCCAGCACGCCTGCCCAGACACGTCTAACAAAGTTGCACATAAGCTGTGCCTGGGTACTGATGGGATATCCTCACCGCATCACCCACACCTCATACCCTGGGAAGTAGGTAGCCCCGTCCCTGTAAAGTTGGGAAACAAGCACAGAGCGTGAAAGACCTTGCCTGGTGTTTCAGGGTTGAGGCACAGTTCATACACAGGGTGGCCAGGCTCCAGGACCCCGAGGTCACAAACGAGGTGTGGTGAGGAGGAAGAGGCCTGATGTCACCCCGAGCGAGGCACCTATTATCGTTCTCACTGACGTCAGACACCTCTCGCCAGCGGGGTCTTCCCACTCTCCCAGCCACCCGCAGCGCCCCGGCCTAGCTGAGCCTGGAGGGGAGAGAGATGTCCTCTCTGGCAGGTGTTGGTCCTCTGCTGCACGCAGAGTCCTCACGGGGGCCGAGCCTGCTGCCCTGGTCCCAGCTGCTGCTGTTCCGACCCACTGCCTCCTGCAGGTACCAGCTGAAGCTCTTTGCCCGCATGTGCCTGGACCGCCAGTATCTGGCCATCGACGAGATCTCCAAGCAGCTGGGCGTGGACCTGCTTTTCCTGTGCATGGCGGATGAGATGCTGCCCTTTGACCTGCGTGCCTCCTTCTGCCACCTGATGCTACACGTGCATGTGGACCGTGACCCCCAGGAGCTGGTGACGCCCGTCAAGTTTGCCCGCCTCTGGACGGAGATCCCTACGGCCATCACCATCAAGGAGTGAGAGTCCGGAGGGTGGGTGGCCAGTCGGGGAGGGGCACAGGGTGGCGGGGCAGGGCATGGGGACCCTCATGCCTCCTGCTTCCACCCCTAGCTATGATTCCAATCTCAACGCCTCCCGAGATGACAAGAAAAACAAATTTGCCAGCACCATGGAGTTTGTGGAAGATTACCTTAACAATGTGGTCAGTGAGGCCGTGCCCTTCGCCAATGAGGAGAAGAACAAACTCACCTTTGAGGTGGGCTGTGGATGCTTGGGGCTGGGGGGTGGGGGTGGAGCTGGGGTTCGCCCCTCCCTGGGCCTTGGTCTGCATCCAGGGATGGGTTGTAGAATCCATGACCCCGTTTTCCTGGCGCCCCCAGCCCAGCAGGGGATGGCATAGATAAGCCAAGGCTCCCCAGTGGGCAGATTCCCCAGGGTTCCATGCCCAGAAGAAAGCCGCTAGGCTGAATCCTCTCAACTCATCAGCCAGGGTCTGCCGTTCCCAGGCCCTGCCTTCCTGGGAATTCCACCCTCCAGACACCCCTGCATCCTGGTTTTCCTCTATCCTGTTTGGACCCTAACAGAGCCACACTCTCCCCCTGGACAATCACCATGTTGGAAACCGTGCCCCCCCCTCCCCGCCCAGGACACTGGTCTAACTCCACAAACCACACCTCTGTGTGTGTTGGTCCTGTCCCCCCGAAACCATGCACACTGGCCACACCCCTCGCACTGCTGCTGTGTGCACCGCCCCACTCGCCCTCACTCGGCCCCGCCCCTCCGCAGGTGGTCAGCCTGGCGCACAATCTCATCTACTTCGGCTTCTACAGCTTCAGCGAGCTGCTGCGCCTCACACGCACACTGCTGGGCATCATTGACTGTGTCCAGGCACCCCCAGCCATACTGCAGGCCTATGAGGAGCCTGGTGGTGAGGCTCGGCCCCCTCCTCCGTCCCTTCCTGGTCCCCACAGTGCTGCCCGCCACCGGCCCCCTCCACCCCGCTGGCCCGGGTGCTGTGATGCTCGGGTGGGGTCTTGCTTGGTCTCCAAGTTGAGTGGGATTCGGTGCGACCACTGAACGAGAGGGGTGCAGCCCCACCAGCAGGGAGTGTGGAGAGGACGGGGGCTCTCAGTCTGCAGCCCCCTCCCTGGTACCCCAGGACACACACTCATCTACATCGTGCTGGGGTCCGGCCCATGGTTTCGGCATTGCAGGCATAGTGGCCCCTCGGTCCCTCATGCTTTGTAATGGCGCTCATCTCTCCACACCACCCCGCTTGCTTTGGCTTGGTCCATTGTTTTCTTAGACTTGGCATAAAGCTCCCCGCCCGCCACCCCCCGCCCCTGCACCGCACCCCCTGCCCAAGCCTGCCAGGGTTAACTCTGTCCCCTTTTAGCAATTGTCCTGCAGAGATTGGGAACCCTGCTGCCCATCCCCTGGTGACCCCCTTCTGTGACCCACAGGCAAGAACGTGCGGAGGTCCATCCAGGGCGTGGGGCACATGATGTCTACCATGGTGCTGAGCCGCAAGCAGTCCGTCTTTGGGGCCTCCAGCCTGCCTGCCGGAGCGGGTGTCCCTGAGCCGCTGGACAGGAGCAAATTTGAGGATAATGAAGACATTGTGGTGATGGAGACCAAGCTGAAGATCCTGGAGATCCTGCAGGTGCTGGGCAGGTGGGTGGGAGGTCCAGCGGCGGGGGTGGGGAGCCCTTGGTGTTCAGGGTCACAGGGTTTTGCCAGGTTATGTAGCCCAGCCCATTGGTCCTCGAGGTTCTTCTTGGACCAGCAGCACTGACATTACTTGGGACTCAATCCCCATAAAGACATGCTGCTTCATGAAGAGCAATTAATGGCGTCCCAAAGAGGGACGGGGCCCTTGTGACCAGAGGGCATGAGGGTGACAGAGAGACCGCCCTAGGGAAGGTAGAGGTGGAGATTCTATCCCGTGAACACAGAGTCTAGCCACGGGTCCCCACACCCTGTCTTTGTACCTCAGTTCTCCCTCCTGGAGAGGGCTGTCGGTAGAGTAGCTGGAAGGACAGTTCGGCCTGCTGACCTGGGGACTTTCTATGCATATCCTGTCATTGTCTGGCCTGGGGTGTGTGTGGGGACTGAGCAGCAGATGGGGGACTCACTGCCTTATGCTGAGTGAGAGGAGGCGCCAACCACCATCACTGGACCAGGAGCTGGGGACAGAGAGTCTTGTTTCAATGCCTTGGAGCATCCTGAGTGGTGGGGTCCCAGAGCCCATTCTGGGGTCCCCTCACCCCTCTTGGAGCAGCAGGGCTCCGGGAGACTGGTCTTCACATCGTCTGTCCGTCTAGTTCATCCTCAACGTGCGCCTGGACTACCGCATCTCCTACCTGCTGTCGGTCTTCAAGAAGGAGTTCGTGGAGGTGTTTCCCATGCAGGACAGTGGGGCGGACGGCACGGCACCCGCCTTCGATTCCACCAGTGAGCCTTGCTTCCTGCCCCCTCCCCCCGTCTGCAGCTCCCCAACCCATCCTTTCTCCACAGGGAGGAGCAGGGCAGGGACCCTTCCTAACAGGGGAAACAGGCCCGCAGGGAAGCTAGGACCTGACTAGGGTCATCGTCATATCCCACCGGGAGCTGACCAGGGCCTGGGCTTCCTTGGGCTGCTGAACTTCCTGCCCCACGCCCCCAGCCTGGAAGCTCTGCCTCACGAAGGGGGTGGGGTGGGGCAGATGGAGGGGCTGCAGGAGCATCTGGGGCTGGCGTGGACCCCCATACTTGAGTTTCTATTCATCCCATGCCTCTCTCACTCTTGCTGCCCACAGCTGCCAACATGAATCTGGACCGCATCGGGGAGCAGGCAGAGGCCATGTTTGGAGTGGGGTGAGGCTGGGCTTGAGGTGGGCTCAGGTTCAGGGTTGGGGACAGGTTGTCAACATGAGGCTTGATGTTACCCACTTTGGACAACCTGGGTTTCCTGAGCCTGAGGGCTGGTTATTTGCTCCAATGTGTCCCTCAGAAGACCCTCCCTGGCTGCCTGTCCCTCATGGTATAAGGTAAATCTAGGTCCTAGGCATTCTGGTAATTTCCCCCGCTTCATGTAGGGCAGCTGTGCCTCTGTGTTCAGCAGAGCTGGGGGCAGGGCGAGATGGGGGTGTTGCAGCATGCCCCCCTCCCCGCCCCGCTATGCTGGAGTGGACTTGCCACTCAGAGCCTCTGCCAGTGGGTGCCAGCCTTCCTTGGTGTCTGGCACATTCAGTGGATCTCTTCTCAGAACTCCACTGTGACGTCATAAGATAGGGGCTGGCAATGTACTTCAGTCTGTAGAGTACTTACCTAGCATTCATAAGTCCTGGGTTCGATCCCCAGAACCACATAAGCCAGGGGTGGAGTTGCACACCTGTAACCCCAGCATTCAGGAGGTGGAGGCAGAAGGGCCAGAAGCTCAAGGGCGCTACGTAGTGAGTTTGAGGCCAGCCTGGGCTACATGAGATCCTGTCTCAAAAAATAAACCAGAGCACAGTAGTGCAGAATAGATTCATAAAATAGAGCTCACAAATTTACAAGGGAAACAATGCATTGGAACAGTTATGAAAATGCTGAAGAAAACAAATCGGAAGTAGCAGCTGCGTACGTGGCTCTTTATTAGCACATCAACTAGCAGCTGCATGGGTGGGTGTAATTAGCGTGACTCCAGCTCATGGCGGACATAAATGGTATTTCACAATTTCCATTAACAGCTCTGAGGTGATGTGAAAGTGTCTGTGGTTTTTACTGGTGGCAATCCCCCAGGCTCAGCTGGTATTCTCTCACTGAAGGAGGAGGTGTCTTCTCATCCCCCTCAGTGTGCGGGGACTATGGATCCCACACGAAGGGCCCCTGCATCAGGGGCTTGGTGGAGGGCTATCCTGAGGGTACCCAGGACAGTGAGTCCCTGTCCATGGGTGGGAAAAGGCGGATGCCGTGAGCGAGTGGTTCCCTGGGTGTGGCCCTGCTACAGCGGTGGTCGAGCCTGCCCGTGCCTGTGCCCTCACTCACTGGCTCCCACTCCTGCCCTCCCATGCTGGCAGGAAGACCAGCAGCATGCTAGAAGTGGATGATGAGGGCGGCCGCATGTTCCTGCGGGTGCTGCTGCACCTGACCATGCACGACTACGCACCGCTCGTCTCCGGCGCCCTGCAGCTGCTCTTCAAGCATTTCAGTCAGCGTCAGGAGGCCATGCACACCTTCAAGCAGGTGAGAGGGGCCACGGGGACCTAGCTGCTCGGAGCTTGGCTGGGACGTTGGGCCTCGCTGAAGGACTTCCAGCCTTGTTCAAATCCTTCAGGGGAGGGTCCAGCCTCAGCCACCTTTGGCACCTCCTGCCCTGACTCACTTCTTACGTGTGGACACCCCTTGAGAGTGGGCAGTTATGCACACCTTTGCTGATCACTCCCTGCCAAGCCTGGCTTGCAGGCATCCGTCACTGAGCTGCCTGGCACCCGTCACTGTGACACTCTGTCCCCTTGGCAGCCTCCTGTGAGATGCTTGCTGGTCAGGGCTGGCATTTAGCAAGCACTCATGATGTACTGGTCCTTGACACCAGCTGCATTGGTCCCCCAGAATACCCCCAGCTCCCTCAGGATGTGACACCCCTCTCAGCCCCCTGTGAGAGCAGGACATGGAGGCCCAGGCCCAGTGAGAGGGAGGAGAGACCACGTGTAGGCCCTAGTCCTTAGAGTTCAGGTCCCCCCCTCACCGGGGTTCAGCGACCCTGCAGTGCTTCCCCGGCCTGTTCGGCATCTGAGTGGACCAGTGACAGGTCACAGCGGTGTGTGACGTGAGTTGAGTAACTGGCCAGTTGCTGTGTTAGCTCACTGCAGGGAGGCTTCCTGGAGGAGGGGGCTGTAACGGACAGAGGTGACGCTTGGGTGGGGTCCTGGTCTAGCGAGGGCACTGTAGTTCCCTGCGTGACAGCAGATCTGGGGACCTATGCCCCGTGAGTCTGTTACGGCCTCCCTGTGCAGGTCCAGCTGCTGATCTCAGCCCAGGATGTGGAGAACTATAAGGTGATCAAGTCGGAACTGGACCGACTGCGGACGATGGTGGAGAAGTCAGAGCTGTGGGTGGACAAGAAAGGCAGCGTCAAGGGCGAGGAGGGGGAGGCGGGCGCCACCAAGGACAAGAAGGAGGTGAGCTGGCTTCCGGGAGCCAAGCAGGGGGCCCCCAAATGAGGGGACCCGGATGACTCTACCCTCTGTGTCCTCAGCGGCCCTCAGATGAGGAGGGATTTCTACAGCCACATGGGGAGAAGAGCAGTGAGAATTACCAGATTGTCAAGGGCGTGAGTGGCGGGGAGTGGGTGGGTGAGGGGTGGGAAGTGCCCTGCAGCTGGCTTCCACCTGACTCAGATGGGGGCTCCTGCTGGCCCGGCTTCTCTCAACTCCTCCCTCTGGGCCCTGCAGCTAGGCATCTCCCAGCTTTCTGGCATGTTCCAAACAGCCCACCGAGGCCCGGATAGTTATTTTAAAGCTGAAGGAACTTAATGAGACCCCGCTTTACGGCCCTGTCGCTCTGCACTTTACGGGTGGGATGGGATTTTAGGGATTCGCCCGTTTGCCAGGATGGCCTGATTCAGCGGCGGCAGCAGCCCGGCGGAGTCCTTCCCCTCTCCCGTCCTGTCCCTTTGGTGGATGGGTGTGGCTGCAGCTAGCCAGGCGAGGGACCCTGAGGAGGAGGCCCAAGGCTCCCATCTCCCCTGTCTCCCCTGCAGATCCTGGAGAGGCTGAACAAGATGTGTGGGGTGGGGGAGCAGATGAGGAAGAAACAGCAGAGGCTGCTGAAGAACATGGACGCCCACAAGGTCATGCTGGACCTGCTGCAGATCCCTTATGACAAGGTGACTGGCGTCCAGCCTGCTTACACTGTACCTGTGTACCACTGTACCGCAGCCCTCCAGGGCTGGCCGCGGCCCTCCAGGGGTGGAGGGCCGACCGCAGCCAAGGCCGCCCGGCTCTTCTGAGTTGCTCCTTGGTTGCTGTGATCCCTCCCCCTCCCCAGGGTGCTGGGCATTGGACCCAGAGCCTTGCCCATGTAGCTCTTCACTAAGCTGCACAGCCCTCGAGTTTGATTGGACCCTAAGGCTTAACCATGACCTCAGCCTCCTTTTTCCCCTCCTCTGGGCTAACCTTGCCTATCAATCAGCTCCATCTGGACCAGTGGTTCTCAAACTGTGGGTCACAACCCCTTTGTGGGGGCTCAAGTGACTTTTTCACAGGGGTCACCTAGGACCATCAGAAAACAGACATTTACATTATGATTCATAGTAGTAGCAAATTATAGTTATGAAGCAGCAATGAAAATCTTATGGTTGGGGGTCACCACAACACGAAGAACTGCATTAAATGGTCACAGCATTAGGAAGGGGTCCATATTATGGCCCTTTGACCCTGGGCTCCTTATCCCATGGGTCCATGACACCTGGTCCTTCCCCAGGCCTCCCTCCCTCACTAGCCTCTGTCTGTCTTTGACCCCAGCCTTTCTGATCTTTTTTTTTTTTTTTTTTTTTTTAACCATTTGTGTATGTGTGCACACGCTCAGAGTTCACAAGAGGGGGTCAGATTCCCTGGAGATGGAATTTATAGGTGTTCGTGAGCCGTCTGGTCTGGGTGCTGGGGGTGGAACCTGGGTCCTCTGCAGAAGCAGCACGTGCCCCTAAGAGCTGGGCATTGCTCCAGGGCCCTGAGCTGATCTTACACATACATCTCAGGCTACACCCGGACTTTTTAATTAATGTGTGTGTGTGTGTGTGTGTGTATGCGTGCATGTGCCAGGGTGTGTGTGTGTGTGTGGTCAGGAGACACGTCTGTTCTCTCCTTCCACCTTCACATGGGTTCTAGGGGTCAAACCCAGCTCACCACAGGCTAGCGAAGCTCCTTAGTTTTCTATTGCTGTAGTAGAGACCATGACCCAAAGCATCCTGGGGAGGGAGGGGTTTATGTAATCTCAGAGCATTCAGGATATATATATATAATCTCAGAGCATAGGGAGCATATATATTTAATCTCCCATCATAAAGGGAAGTGGGCAGGAACTGAAGCAGACGCCACAAAAGGGTGCTGCTTACTGGCTTGCTTCCATGGCTCGCTCAGCTTTCGAGGACCACCTACCTGCTCAGGGGTGGCACTACTCAGGGGTAAGGGCCACTACCATAGTGGGCTGGGCCCTCCCATAACAATCATTAACCGAGAAAATGCCCCAAGGACTTGCTCACAGAACAATCTGATGGATGCATTTCCCCAACTGAGCT